TGAAGCTCACGTATAGTCTCAGTGTGCACTGCTGCTGCTCGTACCCAGCAGTTACCCTCCACAGTGTACCCAAGCACACACTCACGTGTGGAATTTTAGGTTGTGTATTTGCGTATTTGTGTATTTGTTGTGATTTCAAAATGCTATAGTACAATATATAAGACTAGTTTCATCATTGAGTAAGTCACATCATCAAATGCTTTCATATCTTTATAACATTTGAACTTTATATATTACCTTGTTGTATAGATACAGCAAAACATTTATTTTATTTGATTGCTTTGGGGTTTGGCCTATTTGGTGTCTTTTTGTTGCTATTATTTTGTTTTGCTTTGTATGAAAAAAGGTGGCACTGTGTAGCTTTAGTTGCCTTGGTACTCACTGTGTACATCAGGCTGATCTCAAGCTTGGTAATGATCTTTGATCTTCCTGCCTCTGCTTCCTGAATGATGACACTGTACTTATGAACCATCACGACTGGTTCAAATGTGTCTTTTTAGCCCCCAGTGCTGAAAATGTCTATTATTTGCCCTTTTTTTCATTTTAAAGTTAATATCTATTCAAGAAAAATCTTTTTTCTTTCTTTCCCTTTTTAGACTTTTATATAATCTTGCTATGTAATGGAGCTAACCTAGAACTCAGTAGGTAGCCCAGGATGATCTTAATTTGGACGCTTAGCCTCTCTAGTGCTAGACATGTGCCAAACCCCAAACCCAACTTAAAGTATTTTCCATCATTCAAGGAATTCTTAGGTGTTGAATAACTGAAGCAAATCTGTCACTAATAATATTATCAGAACATTGACTCCGCATAGAATCTTCTCTTGCTGGTTGACATTTTCATAAAATCTTTTTGGCCTTGTCGTAGGACAATATCAGCTCCCATTACATCTTGCTTCTCAGAGAGCTTTTCACACACCCAGGACACTCACTCCTAATGAATCTTTGCTATTTATTATGCAAATAATGACTGCTTTCATCATGGTTTCAATTTGTTAGATACTTTGATTTACAACATGTAAGTATATCTGAATCAAACAATCTCACCAACTTCTGCCACTCCGAATACCCTGACAAGTACAAGTACTGACTTATTATATACAGGCAATCAAAAACGTCATACTTCATAAGAAATAAGTTGTACTCCTTTCTATGATACATGCTTGTCAACAAACACTGGTGTGGTCCTGTAGTCCAATAGCCACATGCTAACTCTTAGCTCACAGGTGGGCAATCTGTCAGATCTCACATAAGCATGGACATATGACTATTGCAGGTTTGATCTTCTGCCTCTCTTTTGCTCCTCAGTAGGAGCCAATGGGATTCTTGTGTGAAAACCTAACACAAGAAGTTTCCTTGAAACTCCTTAGGAAAAGTGGGGAGAAAAAAAACAGAGCCCACCCTGCCTGTAGCTGCATGCCAGCGAGGTGCTTATATTGATATACGTGGTGTCATTTTCTGGACCATTAAAAATGCTGTCAGCTCTGGAGTGAGATGCTGAAGTGATTTACCGGCAGACAACATAGCATCGCACTATCATTTAGAAAGAAATGAGAAGTGCGAGTATTGAACCAAACATATTTTTAAGTTTTATCACCTTAAAAAAAAAAAAAGATATCCCATGCAGGAGAAAAACTTGTGGATTTACTCTCGCCGATCAAATTCTTTATCTAAATCATTTTGGTTTAAATGACAAACTAAGCTTTGGGGGAATAAATGCAGGAATGAAAGAAGGAATCTTAACAGCAGGCTAAGAAAAGCCTGGTAACAAATTGCAGGAATTTTCCAGGTAGATTTCTCAAGGCCATTTAAGCAATCTATATTTTTTCTTTTTCTTCTTCTTCTTTTTTCCCCTTCTCTTCTGAAGGTTCATTTACCTCAAGAGTGAGCCACAGTAAGATGACACCAAAACAACTGGATATATTTTTGTTGTTTTTTACTTCACATAAGCTTTGCCACACAGTCCCAATGTCACAAGCCTCTAAACCACCCTCATCTACCTGCAGAGAGCACATCTGGAGTCTGGGTCTTAACATCCCTAGGTGTTTATACAGTTGTAATCTAAGCAAGAGAGAACACAAAGAGACTTGTGTTTTCTTATCATAGAAGAGTCTGTTCATATTTCTTGTGCTTCTGATTCATTTTGACAAAAGTATGACAATAAAACTGAAATGAAGCATCTGTCAATGTCTGTGAATGGAGTAAATATCCACCAGCAGCCATTGTAGAACTGAAGGTTGATATAACCAGAAAAATATTGATATATTTTGTCACATCTGCAGCTGCTCCAATTAGGATTCAAACTAATTTGGTGTTTCTGTTTTTTAGACAGAGTCTCATTATGTACCTCTGGCTAGCATAGAACTCACTATGTAGACCAGGCTAGCCCTGAAATCACAGAGATCTTTCTGCCTCTACCCCCAACCCCATGAACGCAGGGATTAAAGGCATGTGCTATCACACTCAGCTTCATACTAGATAGTTATAGTTCAGAATTAATTCTTTATGCAGCTCTGAAATGTTTGAGAGTAGTTACTGACAACTATGTTGTCTGTAGATACTTAAAGTTCATAGATCTAACAAACCTATAAGCAGTATGATTGATGGCTGAAAATCAAGTTTGTCTTGTGTGGTTGCAGGGAAAAAATGGAGGAAAAAAGAGAGTGATGTCCCTAGAAGAATTCTTGTTACAGGATATTATCTTAGAGGTGTCCCCACCCGTCTGCAGACACCCAGGCAGACACATGCTTGCTGAGTGATGTGCCTTTGGAGGCCATGACTGTATTAGGTGACCTTGCTTTCTTGGCCCAGAATAATCATACCAGGGACCAAATGTCTAAGATTTCCATTCTCAGAAACACAAAGAAAGAAACTGTAGTCAGATGGCTGGGGATAGAGTGTGGAGCTGGCTACAAGCTTAGAGATGGCCCGATGATGAGTCTGTTTCTGGAGCCTGTCAGACGAATTCTGTGAAAGCAGGACTGAAACAGATGTTCAGGGAGAAGAGATAAGAGACTGGGGAAGCCCGATGGGAAAGAAAAAAAATATCTGATGACATTCAACGTTCTGAAGATTTTTGAGCTGTTAGCTGAGATGTCTCTGCATCATCGTGTTAACCCTTGCCTCTCCTCGCCTTTTCTAGGAAGCTACTTCTAATAGTTTTTTTCTGTCCTTTAAATTATTGATTTGCAAGAAGCCACCGATTGGGATGGGAGATGGCTCCAGCCATTTCTTTGAAACTTTTGGACCAGAAATTTTCAGATTTCAGAACTTTCACATTTTTTCAGATAAGTCACGTAGCTTATGCAATCTGTACGGAAGTTTCTGGAAATACCTTGCAATTATATCATATCTGCAGTGATGTATCTGGAGAGTGATGTGAAGATGAATGGAGGCTATAACTAGAACGCACATCAATTCAGGCTAGGTTCTATCACCTAAGTGTGTCGTGGGCCTGATTAAAACCAGCCTCTTCTTTGGATGGAGAGTTTTGGCTGGAGCTTGTGGTCTGTGGTAGCTACCTTTCGAATGTTTTTGTTTGCCTGACTGCAAAGTGTGGAGGTCAGAAGTCAACATGAAGCGTCTTCTACTACTCTTCCTGTGTTTTTTGAGACAGGCTCTCCCTGACCCTGGAACCTGCAGGTTCATCTAGACTAGCTTGTGAGCCCCAGAGATCCTCCTGCCTCTGCCCTTCCAGTGCTGGGATTATGGGAGCACAGTGCTGAGCCTGGCTTTTTCATGTGGGTTCTGTGAATCCAACTTAGATCCTCATGCTTGCACAGTGGACACTCCACCAACGAGGCAGTCTCCCCATCCCGAGATGTTAGCCTTTTAAAGGTGTTAATGGAGACAAAATGTGGTCATGTCTACAAGGCAGTTAGAAGTGCTTAGTCTTTGCTTGCATACTCTTGACTCAGATGTAGATTCAACCACAACAGATAGAACTTAGACTGTACCTCTGTTGCCACCATTTGGTCCTGATGGTTTTTTACTGTCCCCTCTTCTCTGCTTCAACCCTGAATGACAGATGCAGCAGGCCCACTTCAGGCAGGGTGAGGAGTCTTCAGAGCAGCTCCTTAACCAGGGCACTACTGCTATCAGGACAGTCTGTGTTGTCCACCATCGAAACTTGCCTTCTTCTTACCACCACTGACCTTCATGCCTATATACCGGTGCCTGGTTGTGGGTTCTTTTCAAGGATCCCAAGTGACATCTTATAGTCCATTCAAAACATAGGAAATCAAAACCTGTGGGAGCAGCCAGCAGAACAGCTTTCTCTGTAGTAGTGCCTTGGGAGAGAAGACCATGCCTCCCAGCTCAGGTCACCCTCGTCTGGCCATCCTAGCACGTGAGACTCTGACTTTGTCAGCCATACATATGTATATGCCTTTAAATGGGCTCTCTGAGACTATCCATGCCCGCACCCCGCTTTGCCACCATTCCTTGAATGCACTGGGACTGGAGAACAATTACCATTTTTGCAGGGAGAAGCCCTTTCTTCCTTCTGGTAGTTTCCTTGGGAAGTGCTGCATGAAGAAGTCCCAAGCACACCCACAGCCTTTTAAGAGGGTAAAAAGTGCCATCAGACAGGAGGACTGAAACTTCAGCCTCCCCATCCCACTTGAGGTCACCCCAAAGTTGGCACATTTCTGTGGAAATGTTTTCAAATCACTGGAGTCGGGACACAGGAACCATCAGTTTTTCCTCTTTCGACTCTGTCTCCCAGAGTTGGTTGCTAACTTCCCCTCTTTAGGGGTCATAACCGTCCCTCCAATTTCAATGTGTAAATGTAGGGAAAGGGAACTAGCCCTGGGTGTGTATGGGATTTTAAAAAGGATGACGCAGAGTTCAAAGTGCTTCATTAAACACCATTACAACCAAATGGGAACATTTGAGATCAGCAGAACTCCTCATGAACACAAAGGCTGGTGGCAGTGGCCAGGCCTCCTGTGACCAGTGAGGCTGAAGTCACAGCACGCCAATGAGGAAAGTAACTAAAAGTCAACTGCCCTGTTTTTATTAACGCTGGATCCCCCTAAGCACAGACATGATACGTTTTTCACAGTTTGCTTCTAAATAAAAAGAAAAATAATCAAATTTAGAATTAAGTAAATTGCTTTAGCCTGCCATTTAAAGACAGCACAAGTAATCTAATTAGCGGCACTCATGAGGAGTAAATGTGAGTGAACCCAGAAATTGAATTTGGAGACCGGCATCCGAGCGAGCCCTGCATCAACACCTCCTAGAGAAAAGCCAAATAAAAATGACTTTAAAAAAAAAAACTCGCCAAATCCTGAAAACTATAAAACAAAGTAGGAATGACATGCAAATGCAAAGAGTCTGAGTTCCTACCAAGCTGTCTCAGAACAGAGAGCTGGTCACATCCCCCGACCGGAGAAAACAGAGCCATCTTCACGGTGTTGTGTACAGCCTCAAATTCTGTAAATGTGCAGTGTTTAGATTGACTTGATGTTGTTAGTGCTTATGAAACATCGTGTACCCTTTGAACCTCACTAACTATTCCAGGCACCACCCTTCAGGCCAATTTAGACTTTGATCTGGTGCGGTTGCCCAGATGAGAGTCAGTAGTGGCTGTTGAGGGCTGAGGTAAAATGTGAAGGAAGACTATGACATTGGGGAACAGGAGAGTAGGGAGAGAGAGCTGTTTTTAATGTTATTTATCTTTTTGTATGTGCCCATACCAGTCTAGTGTTGTCCTTTTGACACAGAAATGACTTTAGGCAGCATGTTTGATTTATGTAGCATCATAGATACATAATTCCTCTATAGCCCTCCCCCACAAAAAATAGTGTATGACTGACCCGTTGGATACATAAGAAAACTGAGTTTCTGAGATCCCGGCTTACCACCCAGCAGCGTCCCTTAGCTAACCAATGATAGAGACCATACATATATCTGAGTTGGAAAGCTGCCCTTAATTAAAAGTTTCATGAATAAAGGGGCTGACTACCATCAAAGTATATTATATGTGTGTATAAAAATATCATATGAAGTCCCTTAGTTTATACAATTCACAGATGCTAATAAAAATTAAAAGTCCCTTAAAATTTTCTCCAGAATAGTTATGATTTATTTGAAGAAAATAATGGTCAGTTATATTGAAATAGTAACGGTTCATGGCTTGCTACTTTCAAATTTAGTGTCCACATGATTTTATCTTCATGACAATCTCATATGTTGGTGGACTGGGTTTGTGAGAGCCCTCAGTTTTTAATGACGAGCCAGAGACTTGGTGACCTCAATGTACCAAATATCACATTTTTGAACTGTACATGTGGATCTTAAGTCCAGCCTCATTTGGTCAAATTCCAGTTTCTATAAGAGCAGTAAAATTAGCTTAACCTACTGTGAGGAGATGAGAATGAACTCAGAAATTCCCCATCCACAGATAATGGCAGCTGCGAATGAAGAAATGAGATCTAGTCTTCCGAACCCCAAAATGTAACCAGGTCTCTAAGACTAGAAAGAAATTAAATAAACAAATGACCAATGGTCTATTTAACAATCAGTAACAAGAGCAGAATAACCATGGTGTATTTTAATTGCTAATTTGCCAAAATAATTTAGTCAACAGGCGAAGCTTCTTGCAGAGCAAATGAAAACAATTCTCCTAAGATCTTCCCACATTGTCCTTACAAATTACTCTTTCTGTTTTATTCCATAAAAACCTCTTGGTTACAATTTAATCTCACCTTTGCTTAGCCCTGAAAAAAAAACAAAACAAAAAAAATCAAAAAAACAAAACAAAAAAAACAACCTACTGCTTTCCTTTCCTTACTTACGGGAAAGCGTTAAGCCTCATTTTCTGTAAGCTCAGAGCAAAGCTAAAGCAGAGAGTCTGACAAGACCACAGACAATTACAATCCCTCTCTGTGTCTTTGCCTGAATGTTTATACACGTCTAGAAAAGGACAAGTCGCCCTTCCCCTTCTGAAGTCTCTACTGGTCACAGAGGCAGATTTCAAACAGTCTTTTCTGTTTTACTCCTCTGGGCTGTTTGACTTTGTAGACTGTCAGCCAAGCTGTCCAGGTAGGAAGGTAGGTGCTGCAGTCTCCGGGCAGGTGCTTTTCACATCAGGTCTGGGAAACAGCCATGTCTGCTGCCAGCCCAATGCAAACAGGAATGAACTGTGTCACTCACTGCGACATTCCTGAATCCTGGGGCTAATTAGGCTCTCCAATTCTCTCATAACAGCGAAGAAAACAGCCGCTTAGAGATTCCATTAGAAACGGCAGAGTTTCAAGGTACCTGTGATTGCCCGGGTATGGCTGCCAGAAACATGAAACCTTTCTCTCTTGATTTGAGACCATTAGCTTTCTCCTTTGCAGCAGGCCATCTGCTGTGCTTATCTCGAACCAGAGATACAGGGGAGCCCTATCAGCAGCCCCAGGGAGAGCATTATCTGCTACAATAGTGGATCACTCCGTGTCAGAGAGGTGTGGGTGTGAGTGGCAGGGAACGGGAGACAGCAAAATAGCAGCTGTTTTTGTGGGAAGCCCTTATTAGGAGCCTGGCTCAGACCCAGAGCCCTCCATACTTGATGTCATTGATCTTCCCCCAAACCTCGGAGGGGTAGTTGTCAACCCTACATTACACATGGAGAACTGAACCTTGCCCCCTAGCAAGATGCACAGTGAAAAACAGTTTGAACACACATGCGCGCGCACGCGCGCACACACCTACCCACACCCACCACGGTGTACACACACACCACGGTGTACACACACACAACACGGGTAAAAGATAATTTGCACTTATAACGTTTATTTAACATGATGACTCACTTATTAAGCGTCAACTATCCATCAAGAAAAGCACTTTTTAAAACTTTCACAATATTTTAGGCTCAATCATTTTATTGCCTACATTAGCCTTCTTTTGCCTTAATATATTCAGCTGAAACAGATGCGGTGTATAAATACAAGTGATTTGAAGTACTCCTGGTTACCTGACTGATGTAAGTCATACATGTACGATGCATCAATGTAGTATGAGAAATCAGGCCAGTATGTACGCATTCAGAGAACACTAAGCAAATGTTTGGGTGGGCACTAGGGTCCAACACCAATTCAGATGAAAGAAGTTAATGGTGAAAAAGACAAACGCTCCCTTTCATGGATCTGATAGTAAAATAACTGTTAGAAAATACACCATTGTAGAAATATCATTAGTGGCTAGCATGACAATGCATACCTAAACTCCTACACTCAAGAGGCTGAGGCAGGAGTATTAAATTTGAGGCAAGCTAGGCCTGTTTGGTAACTCTCTCCAATCTCCCCTCCCCCTCCCCCTCCCCCC